TGGGGCCAGCGGAAGGGTCTGACCAGCACACCCAGCAGTGAATCTGAGGGACCCTTTATTTTCTGGTAGAACTTTTGAAAGAGAGTAAGACAGAGGGTGGGCAATGGGGCCCAAAAAAAGAGGATTGGTCCTCCCCACCTCGAGTGCAGGGTTCTGCTCCACCATTTGGTGACTGGAGGCAAGGGGGAATGACTCTGGGCTGGAAATCTGCATACTTGCAGCTTCATCTGGCAGTATGGGGGACTCAAACATAAGGACTAGCATGAGCCTGGGTGAAGGCCCCACCCAGCTGGGCCAGCCATGCTGAAAGATTGGAGTGCCAAGTAGGGCCGATTTTTTAATTTGTTTAATCCCCTCCTACTTATGTTGGAGGCGAGGGGGTACCAGCAGCCTAGGCACAATAAGAACCATCTAGTTTATTTTCCCTGCTATAGGAAAATACTATCTTGTTTTGTTTTGGTTAATTCTCACCTAAGGATATTTTTTCATTGATTTTTAGGGAGTGGAAAGAGAGGGAAAGACAGAAACATCAATGTGAGAGAAATACATTGATTGGTTGCCTCCTGCATGAGCCATCGCTGTGGCCCGGGTCAGTGAGAAGCCTGCAACCCAGGTATGTGCCCTTGCCCGGAATTGAACCCAGGACCCTATGGTCTGCAGGCCGATGCTCTATCCACTGAGCCAAACAGGGTAAGGCGGAAAATACTATCTTGTTCTCTTCTGATTTCTACCATGAACATTTATACTTTAAAATTTAAAAAGAGGATTATATATGTCATTCTTCTTCCTCTATAGTACATAATGCAAAAGTACCACAGAATGTCCTTCACAATTTACTATTATGAAAGATTAGAGGCCTGGTGCACAAGATGCTTGCGTCCTCTCATAGTCCGGGAGCCCTGGGGGTTGGGCCGGGGGGGGGGGGGGGGGGGGGAATGTCCAACTGACAGCTTAAGCCATCAGTAGGACTTCTTTAGCGCTGCTGCAGAGGCAGGAGAGGCTCCTGCCACCGCCGCTGCGCTCACCATGGCTTGTGGCTGAGAGGTGCTCCCCCTGTGGGAGTGCAATGACCACCAGGGGGCAGCTCCTGCATTGAACATCTGCCCCCTGGTGGTCAATGAGCATCATAGCGATGGTCAGTCTGCTGTTCAGTCGATTTGCATATTAGCCTTTTATTATAAAGGACTAGAGGCCTGGTGCACAAAAATTTGTGCACTGGCGGGGGGGTGGGTGGGGGAGGGTCCCTCAGCACGGCCTGTGCCCATTCACAGTCCAGGACCCCTTGGGGGATGTCCACCTGTCGACTTAGGCCCACTTCCCAGGGGATCAGGCCTAAGCTTGCAGTTAGACATCCTTCTGGCAACCAGGGAGCCCTCGGGGGATATCCGACTAAAGGCTTAGGCCCCCAAGGGATCGGCTCTAAACCGTTAACTGGACACTCTTAGTGCTGTCGCGGAGGTGGGAGAGGCTCCTGCCACCACCTCTGTGCTGGCCAGCCATGAGCCAGCTTCTGGCTGAGTGGCACTCCCCATATGGAAGTGCACTGACCACCAGGGGGCAGCTCCTGCATTGAGCGTCTGCCCCCTGGTGGCCAGTGTGCATCATAGCAACCGGCCATTCTGCTGTTCAGTCAATTTGCATATTAGTCTTTTATTATAATTATATAGAATGTCCCTATTTCCCCCCTTTTGCCCTCTCTACCCAGCTCTTGCCCCCCACTTCTCTCTGGCCATCACCATACTGTTGTCTGTGTCCATGGGTTGTGCATATATTTTCTTTGGCTAATCCCTTCTTTAAATTCACTTTTTAATTTATTTCAGATAAGTGCTTATAACTGCACTATTATATATTTTCTATTATATCACTTAGAATTAAGATATCTTTTAACTGAACCCTTGTAAATTTTAGCACAATTTAATAAATTATGCTAGAAGCAATTAGGAGATTTTTCATGTAATGCAGATATGTTTCAATTAATATTTTATCAATTTTTAATTTTTTAATATTTTAATTTAAAATAATCTCATACATGTAAAAAAAAACACCTATAAAATACTACAGCATATTATATGTACCCTTCACCCAATTTCTTAGGTGTTAATAATGTAAACATAACCATTATACAACTAACAAAATTTGGAATATTTTTTTCTTATAATCTCTTTAATGTTACTTAATCCATTTACAGTGGGGCCTTGACTTCCGAGTTTAATTCGTTCTGAGACTGAGCTCGTTAAGGGGCTTAACTCAAATTACTCTGTCAACTCAAAGCAAAAAGTCGGCCAAGAGACAGCTGGTATCTCAAAAAACTCGTTAGTCGGATCACTCGTAAGTCAAGGTCCCACTGTACTTTGTTTTTGTTAATCTTCACCCAAGGATATTTTTCCACTGAATTTTAGAGAGAGTGAAGGGAAAGGGAGAGACACATTGATTGGTTGCCTCCTGCACATGCTCTGATAGGGACTGGGGATCAAGCCAGCAACTGAGGTACATGCCCTTGACTGGAATTGAACCTGGGACGCTTCAGGGACCCTTGCTTGCTCTATCCACTGAGCAAAGCAGGCTGCAGCTTAATTCATTTACTTTTAATCTATATGTGTCTTTATATTTAAAGTGGATTTTGTTTTTGATTCACCCTCATAATCTGTCTTTTAATTGGCGCACTTATGCCAGTGACTTTCAGAGTGCTTACTGATAGAGTTACTGCCATATCAGGTGGCTTCTGGGGCTGGCCTGCAACCTGGGATCAGATCTGATCCCAGGCAGCAGGCAGGAGGCTTCTGGGGTCGCACACAGGGGCCTGGATGGTGACTTGCGCTAGCGGCTCGTGCTGCCCTGCCCTGCCTGCAGTATGCAAATTAGCCACCATCTTTGTTGGTGGTTAATTTGCATATCATGCTGATTAGCCAATGGGAGGCATGGCGAAGGTACGGTCAATTACCATGTTTGTCTATTATTAGATAGGATTGGAGGGATTACTAGCCCTAGATAATTTGTTCCATGAAGATGATTTAAAATAAACTAGGTTAAAAAAATATCCACTTTATAAAGTTATATTTACAAACAGACAATTCTCCCCCAATTCTTATTTTCCATAAAGGCTATCCTTAGCTTCCACAAAGCTCCACAATCAGAATAGCTCTTCACTGTTAACACTTCTATTATACCAGGTTATATTTTTGTCTATCTCACAATCTATTGTAAACTGTACAGCATATAGTACATTTCTCAATAAAATTCTAAAAATAAAAAACCTCTGTTTAAGTTACTATTTCCCCATACTCCCTGAATATCCTCATTATAGTCAGAATGTCTGCAGCCTTTTTCCCATAACAATGTAGAAACTGAGTTGAATCCTTTAAAAACTCCATCTGCTGTCCTCATCTACCTGAGACTACGCATAAATTTGCCCTTATCCAGAATACTAGAGTCCCGGTGCACGAATTCTTGCATGGGTGGGGTCCCTCGGCCTGGCCAGTGACGGGAGCCAATAGGGGCTGTCTTGCCCAGTCTGGGGGGAGGGACCACAGGAGGTTGGCCAGCCGGGGAGGTAGGCTGTGGGAGCACACTAACCACCAGGGGCAGCTCCTGCATTGAGCATAGTGCCCCCTTGGTGGTCAGTGTGTGTCATAGCTACCGGCCAGTCATCCGGTCGTCCAGTCATCCGGTCATAACAGTTGCTTAGGTTTTTATACATAAAAACATATATATATAGATGTTTTTCATCCATTCACCTGATTCTAGCAATAAGTACCTTCAAAGGCTGGCTCTCCTTTACTGTTCCCAAAGAAGCTTTTACTCTGACCTGATTACCACTCCTCAAACCTCTCTCTGCCTTATTGGCAGTTCCCAGAATGCACTATGGGAATGCAGGCTAAGGCAGGGAACCTTTTCCCCATCAGACTCAGTTATAAGCATCACTCCCTCTTGAAAATATTTCCAGACCCCACTCTAAGGCCTTCAGATCAACCCAGGCATGTTTTTATTACTAGAGGCACAGTGCACAAAATTCGTGCCTGGTAGGGTCCCTAGAGGCTGCCCGTGGGGACTCCCACCTTGGCCTAGCACTGCCTGCTCACCTGCTCCACCATCCCGCCATGGTCCCGCTCTCATCAGGGCCCATTAGGCCCTGCACCATGTCACCAATGCCCGCCATGTTTCCGCTGCCCCCTGGTGGTCAGCGCACATCTAACTCCCGGTTGGTCGAACTCCTGCAGTAGGCACAATTTGCATATTAGCCTTTTATTATATAGGACTAGAGGCCCCATGCACGAAATTCGTGCACGAGTAGGGTCCTTAAGCCTGGCCGGAGATCAGGGCCGCTGGCACCACGTTGAGCGTCTGCCCCCTAGTGGTCAGTGCCTTCTTAGCAACCAGTCGTTAGGGCTTAAGATATGCTGGCAGCTTGAACATCGACGCTGAAACGCCAGACGGAGGTAACACCGGAGTCGCTCTTCTTGCCAGGAAACCCCACGTCTTCGCGGGGTATGACCTGTGGGGTCCATGGCCCAGGAAGGGAAAAGCTTCTCTCCGCTCCACCCCCGGCTCAGAGGCAGCCAGTGCGCTGGGCCACAGGTGACACGGGCCGGCCACAGGGCACCGGCAACTTTTCCGACACACGATCAACGGCGGGGAGCGAAAAACGTCCTCGGGCCCAAGGCAGACGGACACAGACAGACGGTGAAAGAATGGCGAGCAGAGAGGAAGAGCCCGAGGCCCGGTGACCCGAGGCAGATAAAGGAAAGCGGCGGCCGGCGCGCAGGAAACGGAGGGACTCACTGTCCCCTGCCGGCGGGAGGCCCGCACTGCACCTCCCTTCCGTCGGGGGGCGCCTGGAGTCCGAGGGCGCCGGCGGCTCGGGGACCGACCGGCCCGGGACCTCCCGCCCCAGTGCGACGCGGTCTAAAGCCGCGGTCTCCCGTCCAAATGCCCCCGCGGAGGCGCTCCCGCCCCGCCTCCCGCCAGGCTTCCCGTCCCGGTGCCCCCGGGGCGCCACTTACCCGGTCCGCCAGGCCGACCCTCCCCATGGGCCGCAGCGCCGCACCAAGGCCCAGGCGCCCGGCGCCAATTCCGGCGCCGAGTCCGCAGGGCGCGTGCGGGCGCGGGGTCAGGGAAGCGAGCGGCAGGCAGGGAGGCACTCACTGTCCCCTGCCGGCGGGAGGACCGCACTGCACCTCCCTTCCGTCGGCGTCCTTCTCTTCTGCCAAAAGGTGTCGCAGTGACTCAAGTTCGTGAAATTTCAGACTCCCGGGAGAGCCTTGCAGTGACCCCAGGTAGTGAGGAAGAGAAATGGTCCAAGGCTGGAAAGATCGTCGTTGGGAGCCAACTGTGTTCTAACAGGAGAGAAGGGGAGGATCCCTCCCAGCCCTTCGTTCTCATTCATTCAGAACCATTCCATTCATCTGTAGGCACAGTGCTGAACATTTCTCACGGTAGGAGAGACGAACGGAAAAGCTGATGCAAAAGAAATGGCAACAAGCATTGGATTAACTCTACGACTAAGGAAACAACAGATATATATGGAGTTTAACGTTACATAAATGTATAAAGCTCCTCAATAGAAAAATGATATAACAAAAGTTGAGAGGAAAAAGAAAATGGGACTTATGTAAATATGATTTTCATATCTATAATTGGGGTTAAATATTTCAAGCTGATAAATCAAAGAGTAGAGATATAAGTATATCTTAGGACAAAGGAACTTACTGAGAAAGAATATAATCAACTAAAATCTGGCAATTAAGAAAAAGGAGAAAATAAAGACATATAGTAATGAGTCAATAGACAATCTAAGGAAATAGATAATTAAGGACACCAGATAAGATAATTATTATGGCAACCCAGAACAAAAATACAAACCTTTCAAATTATCGAAACACATGCACAAAACTACAACAAATCAAACAAAATCACATAGTGAAATCTTTGAAAAAAATTCAAAACAGAAAGCATAACAACACAATACAACAGAACTAAGACCAAACATCTTACATGAAGAAACACAAATGAGCAAAATTGGCTTATTTAAAATAGACAGCTTTAGACTGGAACATAAACCATAACACAACTTTATGTTGTGTACAATTTTGAGTTATTTTAAAAGTTGGAAAATACAAGAATAGAAAAACTATACCAGGAATATACAAACATAAAGAAATCAGGTATCACAAACTTACTATTACACAGGCTTGATTTCATGACAGAAAGCATTGACTGAGATTAAGAAGGGCATTTTATAATCATAAAAGTCATAATTCACAATGAAGAAGATATAGGAATATTTGTACAAATAACAATTTCATTATTCATAAGAATGATAGGAGATATAAAGAAAAAGACAGAAGTAATTGGTATACTTCTTGCTAGCTTAAGAGCATAAAAGATAAATGAGGACAGAGAAGAGCTAAATATATAATTAATATGGTAGATCTAATATATCAAACTCTGTACAGAGATTACATCTTTTTAAGTGTCCTGGGTACACTCAGAACAACTGACCATATTTTAGGTCAGAGAGAAACTCTTAATATCTTCCAATAAGTTCTATTTATTTTATGGATACTATCTGATCACAATTTAAAAACAACTAGAAATTAATGGCAACTGTGGTTTAGTTGGTTGGCCATTGTCCTGTGTACCGAGGGGTTGCTGATGTGATGCCCACTTGGTGCACATGCCTGGGTTTTGGGCTCCATCCCAATGGGGGGCATGCAAGGGGAGGCCAAATTGATGTTCCGATCTCGCATTGATGTTTCTCTCTCCCTTCCTCTTTCAGAAAAAAAAATCAATAAACATATTTTTTAAATAAAAATGAAATAAAACAGAAAAATACAGACTTAAAACAATAAATCCAAGGACTGATTCTTTGACAATAAATAGGTGAGCTGTTAACTAAACAAGAAGAAGGGAGGAAAAGCACAAATATACAAAATATGGAATAGGGAGAATTAACTCCAGATGCAGAGAAAAGTACCATTTTCTTAAGAGCTGACTCTGTTTAGTTTTAGCAAATAAATTAGAAAATATAGATGAAATAAATAATTTTAGGACAATATAATTTCTCAAAATGGACTTTAAATGAGTTATAAAATTTAAACAGACCAACTATCACAGGAGAAATGGGGAAGGAGACGACGAAAGAGCTGCTCTCCAAAATAGCACCAGGTCCAGATGTTTCCACAGGGGAATTTTACCAGGCCTTTAGGGCCAATGAATTCTGATGTACTGTTTCTGAGCCCAGAGAAAGAAGGAAAGCTTCAAATTTCTTGTATGGAGCCAGCACAGTAGTGATTCCCAGCAAATATAGCCCAAAGGAAACTGCAGGCCATTCTCACTTATGACTCTCAATCCAAAAATCCTAAGCAAAATATTAGTACAGCATTTGCACAGAGACCCTCAGTCCTAGAATAATGTTATTCCCAGAGCTTCAGGTATCAGCATCCCCTACCAACCACCACCACCATGGGAAGGGGAACATTCTGGAGGTAAGACAACATGCTTAGGACTGGAGTGCTCAGGCTAAGTTTCAGGAAGACTTAAAATGTGATTAATAACCCTGGCCAGAGTGGCTCAGTTGGTAGGAGCATTGTTCCATGCACTGGAAGATCTCGGGTTCAATTCTGGATCATGGCACATACCTAGGTTATGGGGACTATCCCCCATCAGGTACAAGAGGCAACCGATCCATGTATGTTTCATATCAATCATTTTTCTCTCCCTCTGTCCCTCCCTCTCTAAATCAATAAAAAAATAAATCAAAATTTTAAAAAATCTGAGAGGGGAAAGTCGAACATTTAAGAAGTAAAATGAATTTATCAGGTGTCTTTGATAGTTTCGGCGGGTGGGCACAAAAGCCCTGATGCTGAGGCCAAGAGCCTTGGGGACGCTCCAAGTGGAATCTACTGTCTACCAAGCCTCCCTCATTTGCTGGACATCTCCAATTTGCAGGCTACTGACTACCACTGCCCTCCTTCTGCTTGGAGTTTTGCGCATTTCCAAATCATTAAGTCACACATTGACAACCTTTTGATTACAGACCATAGATGCAATCAACTTCATTGTTTGGGAATTTTCTATTTTAATTCTCAGGAGGAAATCTTTTTGCTTCTCATCTCTGAGTATATTAGAAACATCATTCTTACTTCCACTTCTTGTCCAAGGTAACTAATATTACTTTAGTTTACAAACTGAGAATCCAAGGCTTAATGAGATGGAGGACTGTAACCCAGGACATGCAATTAGAAGGAAGGGCAAACAAATTGTGGATCTTGGACAGAAATAAGTGAAAAGATAGTATTAAAAGAAGGGAAAACATTCAAAAGATTTTCCAGATGCTTTAAAACCAGGGAGCGCATTTAATTCTGGTTCGATCTGGGATATGAATTAGTCCACTTACTTTTTGTCTGAATCATACAACTTGTTCCTGAATTGAATGTTCATCTGCGCCCTTGTGAACAGTTCCACCACAGTTAGAGATGAAATTACTGGAGAGGTTTCCACAAATCTGAGTCATTCAAGGGTAATTATGTTGCTTTTGTCCTTTTTTCCTTTTCATGATTAAAAAAAAAATGTAATAAAAGCATTGTTTTTGCCATAATTTCAAAGACAGAACATTTATAGATCTTAGCAAAGGTGGATCGTTTAGGTAACTACTTATTCCAACTTTGAGATAGATGTAGAGTAACATGCTGTAGGTGTTATCTGTACTTAAGAGTCTCATGAAATATAAAACCCATTCATTGTAAAAAAAAAAAAAAAAAAAAAAAAAAAAAAAAAAAAAAGAGGCACAGGGGCCAGTCCAGGCTGGAGAGCATACATGCCTAGTGACACCTGGTGAAACAAGTTGTATGCTTTTTCTCCAGCAGTCCTCTGCATCCCGGAGGGAGGAGGGCAGAAAGTAGATGGTAGCATCAGTCAAAAACTAGAATTTAGCAAGGCAGGTGTTCTAGAAAGAAGGGCGCTTAGGTTAGGCTGGCAGGAAGTGGCTAGAATGAAAAGACATAGCGTACAGGACAGAGACTGGAGGAGGACCAGGAAGAGTGAAAAACAAGTGGGTGTATTAGAAGAAAAACATATTAGTTAAGATGACAGTTTGGTCAAAATTATAATTTGATAAAAAATGATTATTTCCAGGGACTCTATATATAGTGACACTTTTTATATATCATGAAGGATGGTTTTTGTTCACTTTTATGTAACTCTAAGCAGTTTTGTCCATTTTTCAGAATTTTTTTGCTCCCTCCCCCCCTACATTTTCTTTCCTTCTAAGTCATCCTTTACAGTTATTCCTACTCTGTAAATTTATAAAAGCAAAAATTTAGAAACAAACTAGGTAGTCAATAATAAAGACAGTGAAATGAAATGATTTTTGGTGACAATTTATATGGAAGAATCCCATTTTTGTTTTTAAGTAATGTAAATATATGGAGAGAAGTATGTAAGGGATATTTACCTATATGGTTTTCTCTGGGTTGGTGGGATTATAGCAGTTCTGCATTTATATATTTTGCTTATTTGTATTTTCCCCCAGTGAAATTTAAAAAATATATGTAGAATTTTCTGACATTTTAAACACAGTTTTAACTCCCTTTCTATCAATTGATGTCTGTTCTGCTTGTTGACAAGATTTTCCATAAACTTTGAATCGTTTTGATTTGTTGAAAACTAATCCTTTCAATAAGAAATTTACATTAAAAAATCATAATTTTCCTGCATTTTAAAAACTTTAATGAGGATATACTTTAGATGCTGAGTTTATATATATATATATATATGTATGCACACACCTAAAATGGTCAGTAAAATTAAGGAAATGTTTTTTATCACTTTCCAGCCGTGAAGTTCCCACTTTTCAAGCAGGGAAGCTAAGACCTTGATCTGAGAGAGATGACTCTGTGGGGTCTGTTATCTTTTCCACCTGTAGTTTGGTGCCATCCCCAGAGTGTGTGGGCAGAAGCAAGCCTCACTTCAGAACTTTGATCATGAGTACAGCTTTGAGTGACAACCTTAATGTGGTCCTCAACGTGTAATCAGGTCATCAAAGCCAAATCAGCGATTTACGTGGCAGGATTGGGAAATGAGTTTATCTGTGATCAGAGGGTTTCGAGGGATTAGTAACCCTTTCAGGTTACACTCCCTCCCTCTGTGGAGCAGAGAGTAGTGATGACAGCTACGTGCAGAGATAAAACTTTCATAGAATGGTAGAGAGAACTAGTGCCAACAGAGTGCTGGGAATTTTAATATAAATCATCCCTCTTATCCCTAGAAATCCAACGAGACAGGCGTTATTACCGTTTGAACAGGAAACTGACTCTCAGAGAGGTCAAATAATTTGTTGAAATTACACAATTAGCACATGGCTGAACTGTGATGAGAACACAGGTCTCTCTATCTGAAGCTAGCATGTTTTTTTAATATATTAAGCTGCCTCCCAATGAGAACACAATTTAACTAACGAGTAGGACAGTGATGCTAGCCCAGATGTATCTCTAGCACTCTATGGCTTATGATATTCTACAGTGTAGTCTCCTCACGCCCACTGGAACTCCCCTGTCCTTCCTACTCTGATAAACAATGCCATTTATCAATCACTTTCTATGTACCAGGCTCTGGGCTGAGTAATTTACATATGCTACCTGAGACCTCTAAGGTAGCCATCATCACCCTCACTCACAGATGAAGAAATGGAACTTTGGAGAAATTACTTACTTAAGGTCCTAACTACCTGAACCCAGAATTTCCTAATTCCAAAGCCTGTTTGTTTTCTTAAACTAGCTAAACATGAGCAGAGAGCAAGCTGGTGAAATGCCAGCTCTATAAAATGAAAAATATTTGTAAGGTGAGATAACATTTTATTTCTAACAACATTGCAGTAGGACTTAATATCCTTGGATGCTTTCTTAGATTTTATTGAATTCCACCTTGCAATTTCTGAGCCCAGTTTCATAGGAACTTGTCCAAGATCAGTATCGTAGTTTAGGAAGTTTGTATATCCAAGCCACGGCTAAACAAACCCTCCAGTTTTAAAAGGGAATGGGAGAGTTGGCACTGCTTTTTATCTTCTCAGGTGTCACCGAAAAACAGAATCAGAAACAGAAGTGCAAACTCCATCTTTACCCAGAATGCATCCCTGACTCTGGACTGTGGGGAACGGCTGCTATATGCAGGGAAAGAAAAACAGCACAGGATAAAACTCTCTGCAGTCAACCATCTCAGACACAGAAGAACTCAGCTCTTCAAAGTACCAGGCTTATACTGATGAGCAACATCACATTTCCTTGTTGGGACCAGTAGAAATGAAATGTAGGAGAAGCAGAGAAGGTGGGGTGGGTGGAAGGCACTTTTGCAGGAAGCTGTAACTGAAGCAGGGTAGAGGAGAGAAATTTCATGTGAGTATCCTTGTAGCTGAGTATGAAGAGAAATAACGGCTAAAATTTAAAACACACACACACACACACACACACACACACACACACACACACACAGATTCTAACACAAACTCTCTGTGCCTGAGAATTTCTGCTGCTCTGGACTACGACCCCAGAATATTTCTTATCCAAGCCCCTGTAAATAGATTGTTTAGGAAGGACTTATTGAAATTTCCACAAAAACAAAACAGGAAAATGTACCCCAAACAGATCAATACAAAGTTATACTTTAAAATGAAAGGAAGAAAGTAAGTTACCCAACAAAAATATTGTGATGGAATAGGTGAGTCCTGGAACCAAATGCATTGCCATGGATTTTAAAATGTAATGGAGCAATAGCCTCTACAAACAAGAGCTCATAGCAGAGATTTAAGACAATATAATGTATATTTTAAAAAGGAGGTAAAGCACGGGGTGTTTGTGCTCAGGAAATTAGTGTGAAGGTCACAGTGGAAGCGGCACATCTGATAATAGCCCCGCTGAAAACACAGTTTGAGGCCCGGATGGCAAGGCTTTGAGAAAATGAGAAGAAACCTGAGTGGGCATGAACAGAGTTATAATTTTGGAGAACTTTCTAGGTGAACTGGAATAGTACACCAGTGGAAAGAAATGAACTATCTGGTGTGAGATGTTAGGTATTTGGGAAAGTCAAGGAAACAAAATGATAAGGATAATAGGATTGGATGGTGTCTTAGTTCATTCAAGCTACTATAACAAAATACCGTAGATTGGGTAGCTTATAAACAGAAATTTATTTCTCATAGTTCTGGAGACTGGCAAATCCAAGATCAAGGTGCCAGCATATTCGTTGTCTGGTGAGAGCCTACTTCCTGCTTCACAGATGGAATCTTCTAGTTGTGTTTTCACATGAAGGGGCTAGGGAGCCCCATGGATTCTGATCTCATGTAAGTGCACTAATCCATTCATGGGGGCTCCACCCTCATGACCTAATCACCTCCCAGAGGCTCTGCCTCCTAACACCATAACAAAGGTTAGGATTCCAGCATATGGTTGTGGGGGACACAAACATTAAGGCCATAGCAGAGGCTTTTTCTAGGTTACAGTGGTATTTTACAAAAAGAAAATAAAAAACTGTGGGATTTAACAAGCAACTGAAAGCCAAGTTTAAAATCCAGAGGATAGTTCAAAATATTTTTAATTTCTCTTGAGATTTCGTCTTTGACCCATGTGCTAACCTCTACACATTTGGGGGGATTTCCAGTTATCTTTCTGTTATTGATTTCTGGTTTAATTCCATTGTGGTCTGAGAGCAGGCATTGTATGATTTCTAGTCTTCTAAATTTGTTAAGGTGTGTTTTATGGGCAAAAATATGGTCTATTTTGGTGAATGTTTTATGTGAGCTTGAGAAAAATGTGTATTTTGTTGTTGAATCAAGTAGTCTACAAAGCCATTATACCTATTTGATTGAAAATGTCAAGTTCAGCTACCTCCTTACTGATTTTCTGCCTGCTGAATCTTTCCATTTTTTTAATGTGTGTGTTTTTTGACTTTTGTTTTTGAGAGAGGAAGGGAGGGGGAGAGAGAGAAACATCTATCGGCTGCCTCCTACACGCCTCCTACTGAGGATTTCAACCACAACCCAGGTATGTGCCCTGACCAGAATGGAACCAGCAGCTTCTTGGTGCATAGGATGATGCTCAACCAACTGAGAGAGGGCTGTTGTCCCCAATTATGATAGTGGATCCATCTATTTCTCTTTGCAGTTCTATCAGTTTTTGCCTCACATAGTTTGATGCTATTGTTAGGTAAGTACACATAAAGAACTGTTATGTCCTTTTGGAGAATTGACCTCTATCATTATGTGATGTCCTGCTTCATCCTGGATAATTTTCCCTGCTTTGAAGCCTGCTCTGTTTGAAATTTTTATAGTTACTCCTGCTTACTTTTGACTAGTGTTAGAATGGTGTATCTTTCTTCATCCATTTACTTTGAATCTGTGTTTTTATATTTAAAGTGGGTGTCTTACAGACAACATAGAGTTGGAAGACTTTTGATCTAACGTTAAAAACTTCAAAGGTGAAGGTGTTGTAAGTATTTACTTGGTTCCTAAATATTTGTTCTAGAAGAGAGCTGAGGACTCTCACCTTTGAGCTCTCCTGGTGGGCAGACAGGAGGCCCTTAAATTCCTGGTGCTATTGCCATTTTAAGACAGTGTGCCCACATTCCAACTTTTTAGGATTTCATCAGCATCAACTGTAAATTATGTGCACTGTGTATGTTATATGACTCTTCTCTGGGCTGATATAGAGAGGAAACTTGCAAATGGATATGAGGTATACAAAGAGGACAATGGGTTGAGGAATCCCAAGTGCATTAGATGGGTCACTGAAGTGGATATGTCATAACACACATGAAACACACCAAAATATACCCCAAGCAGATTTCTAGGAATGGGTACCAGCTGTAATTTCACTCACTTTTTCTCTTAAAAGAAGAGCCATACACAGGCCAGTTGGAATGAAGTTCTAAGGATAACTATAGTCTAATTTATGAAACTGGTGAATGCCAGTATTTTTGTAACTGATTACTTGCCACATTTCTCGCCACAGGTAAAGACCCACCAATGTGTAAAGACAGTACCGTTTCAAGTCATGGACTTGATGACCCCTTTTACATAAGGCTCTACTTCTGATTTTTTTTAAGGGACTGGTAATGAGAGGAGAGTCTAGAAGAGGAAATGAAAGGAGAGTCTAGAAGAGGAACTTTGGAACCTAAGAGAATAATGTAAGGCCAAGCAGTAGACAAATTATCTAGAGCTGACTCTTACAATGTTGCCTGTGTCCACCTTCATCCACAAGAGAAGCACTCTTGTTGGATGAGTAGAGCACTTTCTCCTTGGAAAACAAAGTCTTGCTCTTTGGGCTTCCTTTCAAAAACTTTCTGGAGTCAATCTTCCTTTTGTTAGAACATTCTTTCAACAGGCAACCAAAAATGACTAGATTTAAGTTTTTAAAAATTACATTCATATTTCAGCTCTCCCCACTTCATACACACACACACACATTATCTTCGTTGGACATGTATTCCCGGACATTCATGGCAATAATTTCTGATTTGACTTCTATAGGGGCTTACATTCCCCTGTTAATTTTTGTTTCAGGAGGTAATCTATTTCTAAGCTCTAGGGTTTTGTGTACTGGCCACATGCATACTACTTAGTATCTTATATAAAAATGTATTTTGCAATAAAAATTTCAAGAAATTATCTCCTATTGTTACTGGTTGTGTGCTCTTTGTGTATATATACACACACTAGAGGCCCAGTGCACAAAATTTGTGCATGGCGAGCCCTCAGCCCAGCCTTCACCCTCTGCAATCCGGGACCCCTCAGGGGATGTCTGACTGTCTTTCACAATCCAGGACCACTGGCTCCTAAACGCTTGCCTGCCTGCCTGCCTGATCACCCCTAACCACCTCTACCTACTTGCCTGATCGCCCCTAACTGCTCCCCTATCGGCCTGATCACCTCTAACTGCTCCCCTGCTGGCTTGATCACCCCTAACTGCCTCTGTCTCCCCCCCGCATCCAGGACCAGGATTCCCTCCTCCGGTTGGTTGCAGGCACCTGGGACCTGGGCTTCCCTCCCTCTGGCCGGCTGCAGGCACCCAAGACCCGGGTCGGCTTTGCCTGGATTGCCGCAGCCGCAGGGGACCGTGGGTGGGCGACTTCACCTGGGCCGCAGCCACAGGCTCTGAGGAGCAGGCAGCTCCTGGGCCACAGCCCCATCTGCTGGCGCCCAGGACTGCAGGGTGTGCGGCTTGTCCCTTTCCTGGGCTGCAGCTTGGCTGGTCCCCATTCCTCTCTCATGAGCTCATTTGTGCCTGGCTGGTCCCCATTTCCCTCTCCCCAGTGTTGACTGAGCAGTTCCAGTGTGAGGGCGTGATGACCATGTGCATATTAGCTCTTTATTATAATATATATAATAATATATATACTTTTATATTATAATATATATTATACATATGCTTTTATATTACAAAAGTATATATATAATATATATTATATATAATATATATATGAATATATAATATATATAATACATATATATGCTTTTTTTATTTCAGAGAGGAAGGGAGAGGGAGAGGCAGATAGAAACATCAATGGTGAGAATCACTGATAGGCTGCCTCCTGCATACCCCCTACTGGGGATTGAGCCTGCAATCCGGGCATGTGCCCTTGACTGGAATCAAACCTGGGACTCTTCAGTCTGTAGGCCAACGCTCTATCCATTGAGCCAAATCAGCCAGGGCCCCACCACCTGTTATTGGTGGAAGTGGAGCTCTTGGAGTGCGGTGGGAGAAAAAATTTTCTGAGGCTCCCATGGGAAGATGAGGTATGGTGGAAAGCTTTATTGATGAGGTAACATTAAGGGAGTTTCCCTTCAAGGTCCCATTTCCCTCTGTCCCACCATGGAAAAAGTCCCATTTTATCTTTTTTTTTTTTTTTTTTTAAAAAAACACATTTTATTGATTTTTTACAGAGAGGAAGGGAGAGGGATAGAGAGTTAGAAACATCGATGAGAGAGAAACATCAATCAGCTGCCTCCTTCACACCTCCCACTGGGGATGTGCCCACAACCAAGGTACATGCCCTTGACCAGAATCAAACCCGGGACCCTTCAGTCTGCAGGCCGATGCTCTATCCACTGAGCCAAACCAGTCAGGACCCCATTTTATCTTTAGCAGAGATAGGATTAAAGCCACGGCCCAGAGTTTCTATTCCATATTAAGGTCCAGTCCAGTCCATCTGAATTGCTTAGTTTGTGCTCCCAACTGCAGTCCATTGTGTGTGAGGTCCAAATGGCCATAGGCTATGGGGCTTATAGAGCCACATGGCAGGCTAGCACAGGTCATGGAGCAAGCGAGTGCAAGAAAGCAGAAATGAAACAAGGGGAACAAGAGAGTAAGAATTCTTTGTCTGGGGCTTTCAACCTTTTAAGATTTTGTGCCTTCCTCCCTTTAGCCAATTATCTTTTTTTTTTTTTTTTTTTTTTTTAGGTTACATTGACAGGTAAGCACCTTCCCTAGGTCACCCTGTGCATGTCTCCATCTCCCTTCCCCCAGTGATTTACAGGGAATGGACCAGTGGTTACCTGGGGAGTGTAAAATTGCAGCTTCCTGGTGAAGCTGCCCAGATGACTATGTTTATAATGTCTGGCCTCCCCTTTGCTTCTTTCCTAGTATTTTTTAAAAATATTTTTTTATTGATTTCAAAGAGGAAGGGAGAGGGGGAGAGCGATAGAAACATCAATGATGAGAGAGAATCATTGATTGGCTGCCTCCTGCACACCCCCTACTGGGGATTGAGCCCACAACCTGGGCATGTGCCCTGACAGGGAATTGAACCGTGACCTTCTGGTTCATAGATCAATGCTCAACCACTGAGCCACACCAGTTGGGCATCCTATTATTAATATTAGCTAGCTAATTACAATGGTAACTATAATCTCTTAGATATTTCATTATAAACTCAGTGATAGATTATTGATTAATTCAATGACTTGTTTATGATCCTACCTAAAGTTCTCTTTCTAGTCTAATAACTCCAAATAATGATTGCTCACAGTCTACTCTCATATTCCAAAACATTCTTAAATGAGGATTGTTTTCTAACAGGGAACATGAGAATCAAGATGAAAAGTGTGGAGTACACATATATGTGTGGTTAGGAAAATGATAAAGATGACCTCAAAGAAAATAAAAATCTTTTCTTCTGTTTTCCTCACCTGCTACCATTCACTACATCTCAAGGTAAGGTGGCAACTCTGTGGACCAAACAGTACCAACTGTATCTCACTTATCATGTGAAAAGATCACACGAAAAATATCTGTAACTGTGATCTTCAAAGAAACAGAACAACAAGTGCTGGTGAATATTTTTGTTTTCCAACAGGTATCCCTCCTTCCTTCCTTGCCTTCATTTCCTTTAAATTAAGTCTTTATTGTTCAGATTATTACATTTGTTCCTCTTTTTCCCCCCCATAACTCCCCTCCTCCCAGTTCCCACCCCACCCTCTGCCCTCACTCCCCACACACTGTCCTCATCCATAGGTGCACGATTTTTGTCCAGACTCTTCCTGAATCCCCCACACCTCTTTCCCCGCCAAGAATAGTCAGTCCATTCCCTTTCTATGTCCCTGATTCTATTATAATCACCAGTTCATTCTGTTCATCAGATTATTTATTCACTTGCTTCTTAGATTCACTTGTTGATAGATGCGTATTTGTTGTTCATAATTTGTATCTTTACCTTTTTCTTCCTCTTCCTCTTCTTAAAGGATACCTTTCAGCATTTCATATAATACTGGTTTGGTGGTGATGAACTCCTTTAACTTTTCCTTATCTGTGAAGCTCTTTATCTGACCTTCAATTCTGAATGATAGCTTTGCTAGATAAAGTAATCTTGGTTGTAGGTTCTTGGTATTCATCACTTTGAATATTTCTTGCCACTTCCTTCTGGCCTGCAAAGTTTCTGTTGAGAAATCAGCTGACAGTCGTATGGGTATTCCCTTGTAGGTAACTGAGTTTCTTTCTCTTGCTGCTTTTTTTTTTTTTTTTTTTAGTAAGCATTTTATTTTTTATTTTTTATTTTTATTTATTTATTTATTTATTTTTTTTATTGCTTAAAGTATTACAAAGGGTATTACATATGTGTCCATTTTATCCCCCCGCCCTAGACAGTTCCCTAGCCTCCCCTATCCCCCAATGTCTTATGTCCACTGGTTATGCTTATATGCATGCATACAAGTCCTTTAGTTGATCTCTTACCCCCCTACCTCCTGTCCCGCAACCCTCCCCGGCCTTCCTGCTGCAGTTTGACAATCTGTTTGAGGCAGCTCTGCCTCTGTATCTATTATTGTTCAAAAGTTTATAATGGTCTCTATTATCCATGAATGAGTGAGATCATGTGGTATTTTTCCTTCATTGACTGGCTTATTTCACTTAGCATAATGCTCTCCAGTTCCATCCATGACGTTGCAAATGGTAAGAGTTCCTTCCTTTTTAGAGCAGCATAGTATTCCATCGTGTAGATGTACCACAGTTTTCTAATCCATTCATCTACTGATGGGCACTTAGGCTGTTTCCAGATCTTAGCTATGGTGAATTGTGCTGCTATGAACATAGGGGTGCATATATCCTTTCTGATTGGTGTTTCTGGTTTCTTGGGATATATTCCTAGAAGTGGGATCACAGGGTCAAATGGGAGTTCCATTTGTAGTTTTTTGAGGAAACTCCATACTGTCTTCCATAGTGGCTGCACCAGTCTGCATTCCCACCAGCAGTGCACAAGTGTTCCTTTTTCTCCACATCCTCTCCAGCACTTGTCGTTTGTTGATTTGTTGATGATAGCCAGTCTGACAGGTGTGAGATGGTACCTCATTGTTGTTTTGATTTGCATCTCTCGGATGATTAGTGACTTTGAGCATGTTTTCATATGTCTCTTGGCTTTCTGAATGTCCTCTTTTGAAAGGTGTCTATTTAGGTCCTTTGCCCATTTTTTGATTGGATTGTTTATCTTCCTTTTGTTAAGTTGTATGAGTTCCCTATAAATTTTGGAGATTAGGCCCTTATCAGATATGACATTGGCAAATATGTTTTCCCACACAGTGGGTTTTCTCGTTGTTTTGTTGATGGTTTCTTTTGCTGTGCAGAAGCTTTTTATTTTGATGTAGTCCCATTTGTTCATTTTCTCTTTCGTTTCAAGTGCCCTAGGAGCTGTATCAGTGAAGAAATTGCTTCGGCATATGTCTGAGATTTTGTTGCCTTTGGATTCTTCTAGAATTTTTATGGTTTCCTGTCGTACATTTAAGTCCTTTATCCATTTTGAGTTTATTTTTGTGTATGGTGTAAGTTGGTGGTCTAGTTTCATTTTATTGCATATATCTGTCCAATTTTCCCAACACCATTTATTGAAGAGACTATCTTGGCTCCATTGTATGTTCTTGCCTCCTTTGTCAAATATTAATTGAGCATATTGGTTCGGGCTGATTTCTGGGCTCTCTATTCTATTCCATTGATCTATATGCCTATTCTTGTGCCAGTACCAGGCAGTTTTGAGAACAGTGGCTTTGTAATACATCTTGATATCTGGTATTGAGATCCCACCTACTTTGGTCTTTTTCAGGATTGCTGCAGCTATTCGGGGTCTTTTTTTATTCCAGATGAATTTTTGGAGAGTTCGTTCTAGATCTCTGAAGTATGCCGTTGGTATTTTAATGGGAAGTGCGTTGAATTTATAGATTGCTTTGGGTAGTATGGACATTTTAATGATGTTGATTCTACCAATCCATGAACACGGTATGTTCTTCCATCTGTTTATGTCTTCCTCTATATCTTTTTTCAACGTCCTGTAGTTTTCTGAGTAGAGGTCTTTTACCTCTTTAGTTAAGTTTGTTCCTAGGTAGCTTAATTTTTTTGGTGCGATGGTAAACGGGATTGTTTTTATAATCTCTCTTTCTGAAAGTTCACTATTGGTGTATAGAAATGCCTCGGATTTCTTGGGGTTAATTTTGTATCCTGCTACATTGCCAAATTCATGTATTAAGTCCAGTAGCTTTTTGATGGAGTCTCTAGGGTTTTGTATGTATAATATCATGTCGTCTGCAAATAAGGACAGTTTTACTTCCTCTTTTCCAATTTGGATGCCTTTTATTTCTTCTTCTTGCCGAATTGCAATGGCTAACACTTCCAGTACTATGTTGAACAGGAGTGGTGAGAGGGGGCATCCCTGTCTTGTTCCTGTTCTTAGGGGAAATGGTGTTAGTTTCTTGCTGCTTTTAAGATTCTTTGTCTTTTGCTCTTGGCATTTTAATTATGATGTGTCTTGGTGTGATCCTCTTTGGATTCCTTTTGTTTGGGGTTCTCTGTGCTTCCTGGACCTGTAAGTCTATTTCTTTCACCAGGTAGGGGAAGTTTTCTGTCATTATTTCTTCAAATAGGTTTTCAATATCTTGCTCTTTCTCATCTTCTGGCACCCCTACAATTCGGATGTTGGTACGATTGAAGCTGTCCCGGAGGCTCCTTACACTATCTTCGTATTTTCGGATTGTTTTTTCATTTTGCTTTTCCGGTCGGGTGTTTTTTGCTTCTTCTCATTTCAAATCTTTGCCTTGATTCTTGCGCTCCTCTGGTCTGCTGTTGGGAGTCTGTATAATATTCTTTATTTCAGTCAGTGTATGCTTATTTCTAGTTGGTCCTTTATCACAACATCGAGGGTCTCATTAGATTTCTCTAGGATCTCAGTATATTTATCGGCGGTCTCACCAGTCTTTTCGAGGGCCTTACTAAATTTATCGGCAGCTTCTAGACAGTTCTTGAGAGACCTTAAAGTGTGTTTTTTGAACTCTATATGTAGCATTTTGCTTTCCTCCATTTCTGTCATTTGTGTCCTGTTTCTTTGTCTCCGCATTTTTTATGCTTTCTTGGTGCACCCCCTAGTGGTCTTTGTGCGCAGTCTTGTTGTAGCTTAGCCTTGATTGTTATAGGTAACACTGGGGGGGGGGGGGGAATTTGACCTCCAGGCCAACTGGCTGTGAGAATCAGCTGTGTCTGCAGTGGGAGAACTTCTGTCCTCTAGGGAGGTGCTAATCTAGCCTTTGCCTGAGGCTATCCAGCAAATGCCTCTGTGCAGGGCTTGGGCAGGGCAGGTCCCAGGGGATCAACAGGGTGGGCCGAGCGAGCAGTTATGGCTGCTCTCAGAAATGTCCCCAGAGGCTCTGCCTCTCAGTGTCCCAGCAACTGCTGCAAACCTCGGAGAGAAAGCTGCCCTTGAGTTCTGACTGATGCCAGACAGTCCCGCTTCTCCCGTTTGAGTCTGGGTCCCCAGAGACTCGCCTGGAACTGGAGCTCAGAGCCTGAGACTCCCTCCTGATTGAAACATACAACCGCGCCCTCAGCCGCCAGCCTGCTCCGCACGCACCTCCGCACCTTTGTATTTCACTTCCGCACTGCGCCTCCTCTGAGTCTCGGTATGCTTTTCTCATTCCTTCTAGTTGTAGAATTTCCCCTCAGCCAGCCTTCCTGTGGTTCTGGGTGATGTCCGTTCCATCTTTTAGTTGTATTTTTGAAGTGGTTGTGCGAGGCAGCCATCTCCGGTGTTTACCTATGCCGCCATCTTCGTTTCTCTCTTCTCATATTCAAAAGCTTTGTGCCTGCAATGATAATAATCTCTCTCTCTCTCTCTCTCTCTCTCTCTCTCTTTCTCTCTCTCTCTCTCTCTCTTCATCAGCATACCATTATACCATAACTCCCTTCTTAAAAAAAACAAAGTAAAATTTTTTTAAAAAACCTCACTACTTGCCAGGTGTTAGAGGGATGGAGAGATGAAAAGGTGGAACACAGAGGGTTTTTATGACAGTGACACTACTCTGTATTATACTCTAACCCAGCAGTTCTCAACCTGTGGGTCGCGACCCCTTTGGGGGTCGAACGACCCTTTCACAGGGGTCGCCTAAGACCATCGGAAAACACATATATAATTACATATTGTTTTTGTGATTAATCACTATGATTTAATTATGTTCAATTTGTAACAATGAAAATACATGCTGCATATCAGATATTTACATTATGATTCATAACAGTAGCAAAACTACAGTTATGAAGTAGCAATGAAAATAATTTTATGGCATGAGGAACTGTATTAAAGGATCGTGGCACTAGGAAGGTTGAGAACCACTGCTCTAACCCATAGAATGTACACCACCAAGAGTAAACCCTAATGTCAACTATGAACTCTGGGGTGATGATGATGTGTCAATGTAGGTTTATAAATTGTCACAAATGTACCACTCTGGCTTGTTCCCTTACTTCACTGAGATTTCTCGCCAAGTATCACCTTCTCAAAGGGTTTTTTCTTGACATCTTCACCTATAAAAGTATCATTTCCTCCCCTGTCTCAGGCATGCTTTACTTACCTACATTATTTTTATTTGTAACACTTATCACCACGGATCATTACAATATATATTCATTTGTTTATTTGTTTATTGTCTGTCTGCTGCATCAGAACTTAAACTCCATAATAATGACAAGGATTTTGTCTATTTTATTCTCACTTAATGCCCATGCAATGTGCCTGGCACATAGCAGGTACTCAATAAAATAGTAGCAGTAACAGAGCACCAGAAAACGAATAATTGTCTTCTTTGTATAAAGCAGATAAACAAGTCACCAACATGAGGAAATATAGGTAATAATAAGAGAGGTATGGGTTTTTCAAAAAAGATAAACAGGTGAGAAAATTAGAAATTAGTTTTGTCTTTACCATGGATAAAATTAACCTAATCTCAACAGATCTGAATCTCTTCATTTATCAAACAAGAAATAGAAAATTTCACAGTGGTTTGGGGTGGGGAGGGAGAGGAGGTAATTCAAACAAAAAAGTTCTGAACTTCTCAGAAAAAATAAATTTCATCAATTCGAGGTATTGTTAATACCCCATCTGGCCACGACTGATGAAACAGATACGTGGATTCCATGAATTTAAGCACTTGTTAATGTCACTTCTAGATTCTTCAGACAGGTTCTTTTGTTCTATTTTAATCCTCCAGGTGTCACATAAAAAAAGTTGACCTATTATGAAATTACCCCAAAATTCTTCATTTTGTTTCTGTTTTTAATTTTTATTTTATTATCTCAAGTACTGAAAGTAGAAGTTGCTGGAAAAATTGTGGGGAAAGCTGTCAGTTTTTTTAAAAAAATATATTTTTTTATTGATTTTTACAGAGAGGAAGGGAGAGGAATAGAGAGTTAGAAACATCGATGAGAGAGAAACACTGATCAGCTGCCTCCTGCACATCCCCTACTGGGTACTCTGCAACCAAGGTACATGCCCTTGACCGGAATCGAACCTGGGACCCTTCAGTCCGCAGGCTGACACTCTATCCACTGAGCCAAACCAGTCAGGGCGAAAGCTGTCAGTTTTTATGGAGGGGCAAAGTTGCTCAAAACCTAAATAAGCAAAATGTTATCCTCCTCTCTCTTTACCTAGGCCCACACATTCAGAAGACAAGGCTATCCAGCTCAGTTTATGGAGGCCCATCTGCTCTTAAGAAGAGGCTAGTCCAGAGCCAAAGAGAACAAACTTTGCTCTTAAAAGAAAGGAACTTATATCAGCTAGCTAACTGCATCCAATTCTCTGAATTCATTGTTGAGAATACTGACCATCCTGACTCCTGAAACAGAAGATACAAGTACAATCAAACCTGTGTAAACAAACACGTTGCCTAATTGTGGACCCAGATATACCACAATTGAATATTTCCCCTCAAACCCAACTCCATAAAGTAAAAGCCTGATGAAAAACCAGTTGAGGCTGATACCATATTAATCTTGTCTCCCTAAACCAGAGCTCCAATGGGGTTCTCCATGCAAGCATTCATTCAACAGATACTACTGGGCATCTATTATGTGCATAGAGCATCTATTAGGCACTGGGAATAAAAACGTGACTTAGAGGCATTTCCTGCCTCTAAATGCATGTTGGAATGATCAACCATGTCTCCAGAAACCGATAACTCAATTATAAATTTGAAAATGCAGAATGATGGACTAGCAGCATTGTTTAAAAGGTAGGTCTAGACATGCGACCTGGGGATCTAGACATGATACTAAGTAATTGTGAGAGTGTGGGCGTTTCACAACCACCATGAGATTCAATGGCTTCATTTATAAAATGGAAATTGTGATAGTACACTGATCTCATCTAATTCCTGCGAGAAGTCAATGAGATAGATAATACATATGATATGCTTAGCACAGTGCCTGCCATTTGGTATGTGTTTAATCAATGCTCAGCATAGTGCCTGCTATGTAGTATGTGTTTAATCAATGCTAGTGATTATTATTGACTAGAGGCACAGTGCACAAAATTCATGCACAGGTAGGGTTCCTAGGCCTGCCTGGTGATCAGGGCCCATTGGGGCCTTCATTCCCCCGGCTGCCTTTGTTCCATGTCATCCCCTGGTGGTCAGCACACATCATAGGTCGAACTCCCAGTCAGTTGAACTCCCAAGGAGACAATTTGTATATTAGCCTTTTATTATATAGGATATTACTGAGACAGAAGAGAAAGGATACTTCCCAATGTAGGGATAAAGTGAGATTTCTTTTAGGAGGTGGCATTTAAGCTGGATCTTAAAGAGTAAGTTAGATTTGGACTTAGAGATTTTCAGAAACAACCACGAAAAGAGAATGTCATGCTGGGGTATTAGTGAGCAGTTGATTTTTGTTATTGTTTTGCTGTTTGTTTTCATGAAGCAAAGACAGCATGAGAATGCTGTTGAAGAGATAGGCTAGGGCAGATTATGTAGGATCTTGAATGCCAGGCTTAAGGAATCTGGGCTTAATTTCACAGACATTATGGACATTCTTAGGATATGGAAAGGGAAAAAATAGTGTTCTTCAGAAAGACTAAACTGGAAGCAATGGGCAACAATGATGGAGGTGTGAAGAGATACATTGGAAAGCTGGGTAGAAGTCTGGACAAAAAATGGCACAGGCATGCCTACAAGTCTTATCCTAATACCTACAGCCCACTGAGCTCAGCCTAGGCCCCTGGATCTGCTCCAGGCAGCCAGCGCTAACTGATCAGTGCTAGCTTGAAAGACAAAATGTATTATTATCCATATTAAAACTATAGTCACGACGAAGAGGTGAGGGACCTTTTTCTGATATTCATCCCGTAAACATATCCTGCCCTCAAATGGAAAGGGAGTAAAGGAATCTGACTGTTAGACAATCTGTGAGATCTAACAAGAATGGTCATCATAAGTTTCAAACTGATACCAAAGTCAATTTTCAACTATCACAGATGGAGGGCTCTGTCTTTTATTCATATAAGCAACTGTTCTCTTCCAGGGTTTTATAGGCAGAGCAATTCACGATAGTTAGGTAGCTCATTGGGAACTTGACAAGTGAGTAGGGGGCAGTTATTTGATTCATAGTGGATTTTGGTTTTCCACAGTAACTTCTGTGCCCCATCTAGTAAAATCTGGTGGAAATTACAAACTGTAGAAATTCAACTCAGTATAACAATAACAGGATGCACCTGTAGATTTCGTAGAATTGGCAGCAGCATTCTCTCAACACCAGTTTGAGAGAAGTAAAACTGTTTGTATAGCAGCAACTGGGCCAAAATTTGAAGTAGTATTACACATCTCTCAATGATGGGAGGTATCAATCATGGCAGATACTGTTCATTCCTCCACCATCCATTCAACAAACATGTACTGAAGACCTCCATTGTCCAGCTTCTTTTCATTGGTTGATTTGCTATTAGGGAGTTTATCAAGTTGATAGCTGGTCTGCAGTTAGTTGGGGCTTTTCTGCTCCCCAACTCTCATAATTAGATTGTAAACTCTTTGAGAGCAAAAACCTGAGTATTATTTGTCTTTGCATCTTAGGTGGAGTGTCCTGTACCTGGATCCTTAATCTGTACTCATTAAATTGAATTATACTAAAAGATGCATCCAAGAGTACATGAACAATTTAAAAAAGTAAATTGTGTGACCTTAAATGGAAGTTTCAGCCTTGGGTGGTGTTGCTTAGTGGTTACAGTGTCAGCCTGTACACAGAAGGGTTGAGGGTTCAATTCCTGGTCAAGGGCACATATCTGGGTTGCAGGTTTGATCCCCCATCCCAGGTGGGGTGTGTGCAGGAGGCAACCAATTGATTTGTCTCTCACATCGATGTTTCTCTCCCTCTCCCTCTCCCCTCTTCCTCTCCTTCTCCTTCTCTCCCACCCTCCCTTCCACTCTTTCTAAAAATCAATGGGAAAATATCCTGGAATGAGATTAACAATAACAACAAATGGAGATTTCAGGTTCATATCTAAAAGATAAAGGTCAGAAAGGCCCGTGGTTCAGTTCTTACTGAAATGAACAAGAACATCAACTATGTCAATAGTAGGCTCTATTCACCACCTCTGGTCATTCTGCTGCCACTATCCAAGAAAGCAAAGAGTTCTCTTCTTTTTGGATCATGACTCTGAAACCGCAGCTCAGCCCATCACTCTGCTAGAGAAAGGAAGATGTGAGATGAGAGAGCAAGGCTGCTTTTATGTGGTGCAGCTGGGTAAGGCAGAGCAGGGCTGAGTGTTTAAAGCAGTGGTTCTCAACCTTGGCTGCACATTAGAATCACCTGGGACTCTTTTTAAAATCCTGATTTCTGGGCCTCATCCTCCGGCAATTCTGTTTCTTTGTTACTAATGTTGTGGCCCCACCCCATAACAAAGAAACAGAATTTCCAGAGGATGAGGCCTAGAAATCAGGATTTTAAAAAGATTCCCAGGTGACTCTAATGTGCAGCCAAGGTTGAGAACCACTGGTTTAAAGGATCCCTGCAGAACACACCAGTCATTTCTTTTGTCAAGGGCCCAGCTCTTCTCTCTGAGTCAGTATCCTCAGAGTTTAATTTCTTAGATCTCCCCTATATCCTAGCATAATGCTTTAACTGTAGGTGTTCAGTCAACATCTGTTGATGGATTACTTGATGGCAGTGAAATTCTTTTATCGAAATTTCACCTTTCCCTTCCTTAGACTTCCCCAGTAAAAATGCTAGCAAACAATGAAATGGTAAAGAGGACAGCAACAGGAAAGAAAAGAGAAATCGCATGATTCCTGAGCTAAATAGATTTGCCTCTTGACCCTATCTCATAGAGAAAGCTGTGCTCAGCATTTTAACTCATCATCAAAGCTAATTCAATTCCAGAAGCCATGAACAAAAAATGGGAATTTTATTCAAGATTTTTGTGGATTGTTAGGAAAAAGGTTTAATGTTACAAAGCAAATTGAAACTATTATCTTCCAATGATTTTTAAAAATCCCTTTTAAGTTCCCTATTATTTCCCCCAAAGTTCCTCTTAATTTTTCACTCTATCCTAATCTCTTCTCTGGCACTCTCAACTCTACTTCTCCATCATCTGTCCACCATTTCTTTTTTTCCTATAGAGCAATTTTTTTGTTCCTGGCATCTCTAATGTGCAAACTCATGTCCCCCCTATCAACCAAGCCTTGGAGAACTAGTGTTTTAATAAGTAATAAGTGGATTCATTAGAGAGCTCATCTTAGCAACCTTTAGTCTCCAGTATGACTCCGTCCTCAATGATCAGGAGTTAGCAAGCTATGGCAGCCCATTATCAAGTGGAACTCACCATCTCTCATTGTGTTCACTTTTTTCTTACTTCTTTTTTCCCCTTATCCCATCCTTTCTCCTTACTTTTTCTTTCTGTACTCAATCATCATGATCCATTGATTTTATGTTTCTTTCATAAAAGAATCTGTACCACTGCTCATTAGGGAAGTGTGGGGAGAGACTGGGGATCCAAAGCTTAAAATAGTCTGGATGATAAATGTCAAAAATAAGCTTCTGTCTTCAAGGACTTTCCAAAATAGTGAGAATGAGAGAACAACCAAAAGAGAACGACTAATTCCTACCCATTAATGGTACCACCTTTCTGCCACTCACCTAACCTCAGTCTCATGCACGTGGATTTAATCATCTGTTGTCTTCTCCCACCTCCTCTACCCCTCCTGGTCTCTTTGTTTTGTATTTACTTGCATCTTCACCATGGAGTGTCCAAGGAAGAAAAAGATGAAACTCTAATCAGTGAATTCCACCTCTGCCAAAGTTCACAGATTCCATTCTTCATATATCAGGTATTAAAAACTGCATTTTTCCTTTGCAATATATTCTGACATCATTCCTCCTTGTCATTCTCATTGGCATAACTTTATTCAAATCCTTACTATTTCACGCCTAGAGAGCATCTTAGCATTTGTATGTATCCAATCTCCTCTTTACCTTTACTCTCTCCTGCACACTGCACCAGCTCAGGCTAATTATGATGTCACTTGGATCATGCCCTGCCCTTATTTAGATATCTTCAGGGGCTAAAGTCCAAATATCTTATTCCATCCTTCAAGGTCCATCCCACTCTAAATCCAACTAACTTTGTTTCTACCCTTAGCTTTCACCACCTGTGTACACAACTACACCTCTGGTGAACCACAGACCATGCCTTACTACCTCAGTAGCCACCAATCAAGGCTACACCCATCCTTCAAGGATAATTTTTAGGTCTGTCCCAATCATATCAACCTCATAAATTTTCCCTCTCTGAATTTCTATTGCTCTTCTTATAATGAACATAAGTGTTTGTCAATTTTTACTGTTAGAAAATTGTCTCAAGTCAAAGATAAGGCAGCCTGGGTCAGAAATTTATTGTCTGATGTAAAGAACAGTTTATTTTGGTAATTACCAAGCATTTCTGATAATAGAACTGAGCAATTTCCTGATAGACTTAGATTCAGCTTGCACATTTCACCATCTGTCCTGTGAGGAACTTAGTTACCTTTAACCAAATGTTCCTTTCTTGAACCCAATCTTTCAATGTTATCTAACTACCCTTTCATCTTAAGGGGAAAAAAATCTATCGAGAAAGAAATCTTTGAACTGGACTTATTGGAAAGTACCTTAAAG